TGATGAACTGACCAACCCCACACCCTGTTCAGCCCCGCTGCTTTGCACTGTCGGTGGGAAGTGGGGAGGGAGTGGGGAGAAGATYGGTGTCTTTGAGGGTTGTATTTTATTTCTCATTCTCCTCCTCTGACTTTSTTAGYAATAAATKCAYTTSATWMTTTRAGTAGTGCCTGTTTTGTCCATCAAGTGTTTCCTCCCTGCTCCTTATCTCAACTCATGAGCCCTTTTGTTAATTTTTTTTCTTCGCTCTTCTCTCCCCAGTGGTGGTGGTGGGGGAGAGTGAATGAGCAGGTGTTGTGGGTTCCTGGCTTTTGGCCAGCATTCTAAACCACCACATCCACATCCACACAGCTGCTGGCGCTTGCCCCCTCAGCAACCTGGTTGCTGAGGAGACCCTTAAGGGGCATAAAGAGCAGGTCGCTGAAATGCTCTTTATCCCTGCAGTTACTTCAGTCACTGATGTCTCTAAGTAGACACCTCTTAGAAGCTTACCTCAAACCCAGGAACACATCTAGCCGACACTCAGAGTGAAGCTTTTAGCCTTGGCACACGTGATGTTGTCCACAGCTCTTTAGGCCTTTGTCTTGCCTGGTGCTGGGTTTTTTCTTAACAGCTTCCGACAGAGGGGAAAGGTGGGGGTGCTGCAGCAAGCCGGGAGCAATTGTCTTGCTTCTTTTGCAGCAATGTTCCCCCCATGGGAGGAGAGGCAATAAAAAAACGAATGGTTAAGGGAAATTTTGCCACTGCTTTAGCAGTAACACCAGGTAAGAAAGAGAAAAGGACATCTGATTTTCATTGGGGGAAAAAATATAATATTATGTAGTATATATAATGTATAAGTGTTCTATGAATCACTGCTGTCAGTTATGCCTTCCTGCCTCAGGGCTTGAAGCCATGGGCTGCCCTGAGCCATATCATGTGTTTGGCACTAGATGGAGAAAAGTTTTAGGTTTCCTTGTGTCAGTCATACCAGAGCCTTAACTATCCTGTCATGCTCAACAGCTGTGTCCAGAATGAGAGTTAGGTGCTGAGGCAGGAAAGAAGCTGTTCCAGGGTAGGATGAAAGATGGCTTCACACTGTCCTGAGAGCTGTTCACTGGCACTGCCTGGGTTTCTTCCTGCCTCTGGCCTAGAGACTACAGCTTCTCCCAGCAGCTTTTGTCTGTCCTTGCACCCTGTGCCACAGATTTCCCTGCACAACCCGAGAGGTTGGTGGCAGTTTTCTGCATTTCCCAGGGGTGTCTGCTGCAGCAAATGGAAACAAGAGCACAAGTTTTCTTCTCCTATTTATTCTCCCATTAAAATGACTCCAAMCTCATCATTTTCTTTGTGCTACACCATCCAATGCACCTCCCAGATCCCTTCCTGAGCAATGATTCATGCCTGTCCTCAGGGCCATGACATCAACTGGGACTTTAGGCTTTGCTTCCCTCTCATCACTACCTGCCTCCAAATACACTCTATTTCCCCTCCAAATTCAGAGGATGTGATGTGCTGAATTCCCAGCTGCTGAACCCAGCAGCAACCTCCCTGCCTCTGCTGCTGCTGCTGTGCTGTAAGATGCAACCAAAACCAGCCAAATTGAGGATCTGGCTTAGGCAAGCGAGAGCTGAAAACCTGCTTGTGTTTCACAGAGGACCCAGGGCAGAAGCAGCGACCCTGACAAGGCCTCCCAGCAAAGCTGGATGTTATTAAATAAATGACCTTTCTCTGGAACAGCCACTTCACCTACACAATCGAATGCAAGGCGCACGCTGCAATATGTGTGAACATTGAGAATTTGTTCAGCTCTTCAGCARCCAAAATAATTAATCTCCAGCAGCTGAACTCATTTATTCCCTCCACCTTTGCCTATCTAGCAGGCTCCAAATCCAGCACTGCAATTATCTGCATTGCTAAGGAAGCCCCAGGAAGCCTCTCTGGCAAACTTGCACTCTTTCATCCACTTCCTTTGCTCACTCTGTGAGCAAAGATCTCATCTATCACAGAAAGGTACTTACAGAAAGATGCCTTCTTCATGCATTGTGCCTGGCCACCCTGGAGGAGCAGACCTGGGCAGGCCAGGGCCTGTGGRGTGGCTAGATGTAGGAATCATCAAGTTTTGATTAGGAGGTATGGCAAGCAGCGTTTCTCTAGGGTTTTTTTGTAAAAGTCTCTGAGAGGGAAAKAGAGCACGTAGTTGTTGGAAGAATTAAAATAATCAGCTCATAACCTGCTAAGGCTGGTCATGGATTAGGAGCCAGCAGCTAAACCCAAAAGCAAATAAGCAGAATTCCCTTCCCTGGGCTGCCAGATTTGTACACAGGGTCATAAGTAGGATGAGTTTCTTGGCACCTGGGTCTGACACCTCCCAGTGGTGTCAGGCTCATGTCACACATGCTGGGGAGAAGCCAGACACCAGAACCAGCACATAGTTGGCAGGACTGTCACTCCACAGAGAAAAGCTGGTGCTGACCACTAGCTACAAAGCCCTGACCTGCTCACACCTCTCCCATTTTATCTAACCTGTTCCAGACCTTGGAACAGCAGCACTTTACTGATGTGGCAAACCAGCCTCTGCAGCGTTAAAGATGAGCATGTCAGCCCGAGTCATGAAAGGCAGGAAAGAAAATAAGAGAAAAGAGTTATTAATTAAAGCAAGAAGATGGGAGCAGAGACTGCAGAATGCCAATAAGTCTGGAGGGAAGGCTGCGTGGAAAGCAGCAATCAAACTCCTTCAGGTTTAATTAAACCTGACTCTATATCAAGGATGTGACATCTTTGGTTCACTGCTGCTTTTGAGCTGAGAAACCAGTTGGAGCATGTACACTGTTACTGGATAGACAGGAATTCCCTTCTGGCTCCAGAGCCTTCCCAACCCAGGCTCAGTGCCTGCCCTTCCTGCTCAYGTGCTCCCCAAAACCAGGGCTTAGCACCAGGCAGAGCTTAGTGAAGGGGCATGGGGCTTGCAGACACTTGTCATGCTAAATGCACCTTCACCCAAGATCTTCCCTGTCCTCTCTGTCGTGTTTCATTTGGGCTTCACCCCAACGTGCAGCAGTCAGTCATGATCTAATCTGCTCCTTTTGCAAGCCAAGACCAGGAGGAGCAGGATCAGGGGTGAGAAACAGCCCAGCCACATTTGAGCAAGAACAGGCAGAAACCAACTGTGCCACATCTTTGTTCCTAACTGCTGTTCCCTTCTCCCTCTAATGCTTTGTGCTGTGCAGTGAGCCTTCACCTGTAGAAATGATGAGGCCATGTGAGCTGGCCACCAGCCATGGCATCATGTGCAGAGGGTGGCTGCAGAACTCGCTGTTCCAGGAAGATGGGTAAGGCACACTGGACATGTTTCTGAAAAACATCAGCTATAGAGGAGCAGCAGCTATCATGAAAGGGCAGGAGTGGAAAAATCAGAAACAGGGATAGAGGTGAGGGAGGCTCAAAGAGCAGAAAGCGTCACAAAGCACTTGAATGGAAAAAGAAAACTAATTCCCAGCACAGCTCTTCAGCTGGCCTTCACAGAGAGAAAGGGATGTCCTTGCAGCTGAGCCTCTAGCAAGGCATACAGCAGCTTCAGTGTGTGTTAGAAATACCACGTCACCTGGGAATTAAGAGTGGGCAGGACAAAGCAATAAGGAAAGATTTATGCAAACAGAAGAAGGGAACAGAAAGAGAAATAAGAGGGAGATCTTGTTCATGCACATCACAGCTCTGCAAGCTGCCTGATGTCACCCAGCCCACTCTGCAATGCCTACAGCASTGGCTGAAGCCAAAACCCTTTTACTTTTGACACAACGTCCGGTACCATGCACTGGGACAAGTGAGGACACCRGAGGATTTTGTGGCCCATGCAGGCGTCAGGACACCTACCGGTGCCACGACAACCTGTAACTGTTCCCCAGCTCCAGTATGGAAGTCTGGGTGTCCCACAGTGACACAGCTTTTCCTAAACACCTTTTGTCAAGCTTCCCCTCTTTCACCTGCTTTTAAGAAATTATAGGTACAAACCTGCCTCACATTAAGGGTTACATACTCGGGATCCACACAGTATTAATTAAACACTGTAAGTAATTAACGAAAAGGAGGGGTGTTGCAGTCATTGAAAGTTTACTGTGAACMTTGAGCTGGGATCATAGCAGGTCTCAGACATGGCTACAGGATTGCAGAGGATTTAGTTTAATGGGTTTGAACGAGCGAGCTCATCTCTCACTGCCAACATAAAATCATCTCAGTGGGGATAATGTGTGCACCTGATGATCCTGGAGGAAAGCAAAACTCTGTGATGTGGTTGGAAAATGTGATGCAAATGGAGACTTTCTTGCCTGTCTAGCCCTTTTCTAGGGCTTCTTCTTGGTCTTGTCCTACAGTTCCTCTTAGAGGGATCATGCCTAGGGAATGGCCAGCTGTTGCCAAACTTTCCCCCTCCATTCGCTCCTTCTGAACAGAGACCATGGCATCTTGAACCTGCCGAGTCCATGCTCTGGCATGACTGGCACCCTCAAGGTCCCTGTTCCTGGTGTTCTCTGGGACGTGAGTCACCTCAATGTTGTCTCCATAGAAAGCTCCCATCCTGTTGGTGAAACCTCTTTCCACATTGACCATATGGACTTTCCTTCCAATTCTCTTCTTCTTTTTCCTGATCTTGTTCTGGAAAAAGATGCAGGTGAAGACCTGCTTGAAATGCTTGCGGAAATGCTTGGAGATGAGGGAGTAGACGATGGGGTTGAGGCAGGAGTTGGCATAGGAAAGGCAGTGGGAAGCCAGGCGGAAAGCATAAGTGGCCCGGTTGAAGGGAAAGTGGCCAAACCAAAAGCATAGGATGACCAGGTGGTGGGGCAGCCAGCAGAGGCAGAACAGGATGGCCACAGTGACAATCATCTTGGTGACCTTACGCTTGGCTTTCCGAGACTCTGAGATTCTTTCTATGGGGTCTACAGAGGTCCACAAGAACCTGATGGTCCTAATGTACGCCAGGCTCACCACGGTCACGGGCAGCAGGTATCCAAATACAAACGTGAGGATGTCCAGGACCTTTCGGCGCTGGTCCTCCCAGATGGGGACACAGATGGGCACACCATGGTAATGGATTATCTGGTAGTAACTGAGGTAAGGCCCTGCAAAGAGCAGTGACAGTGACCAGATCACCACAATGGCCACTCCTGCATTTTGGGAGGTGCGGAGGTCCCGGGACTTCAGTGGATAGCGAATGGCCAAGTACCTGGCAAAGAAGGGAAGGGGAAARAGAGACAAAACACAACATGAGTGAGATGAGGCATTTCTCCTGCCCTGTGGAGCTGCCAGCTGTGCACCCCTTCCTATGCAGCCACCCATGTCTTCCCTCCCAAACATTTTGGGAGAGAGGGTTACAGTGAGTTCACAAAAGTATCAGGGCAGACTGAGATCTCTATCATCTACTCTGCTGTGCTAGCTCAAGAAGGGCAAGCAGTGTATCTCCTGAACCAGGTAASAGAAGGATAGGAGCAGGACTCTCCTGTTTCTTCAGATCTGTGTTGGCGTCCTGGAGGTTTTGCTGTTCCTGGGGAGACCCAACCTGCCTCTTACCGGATACCCAACAGGGTAAGGAGTGGCCTTTCTCCCACCCTTGGCCCATGGGTGGCAAAACTCATTGTCCCTGAGCTGCAGAACTCAAATGGAAGGGGACACTTACCTGTCAACAGAGACGGCAGCCAGGGTGAAGCTGCTGGCATACATGGTGAGGTAGATCAGTAAATGCACAGCCTTGCAGGCAAAGGCCCCAAAGAGCCACCCATCCAGGGTGTAAATAGTGGCCTGGAAAGGGACACAGCAGATGATGAAGCACAGGTCAGCCACGGCCAGGTTAAGGATGAAGAGGTTGGTGGTGGAGTACTTGACTTGGCCATTCCACAGCAGCACAGCCAGCACCAGCCCATTCCCCACAATACCCACAAGGAAGATGAGGGAGAAGATGATGGGCACAATAATCCCTGCTACTCGTAGCTCCAGGCTGTCAGAAGAGACATTCAGTCCCCCTGGCATCTTCCTCTTAGACTGCAGGGACCTGCATGAGGAGAAAAAGGATAATAGGCCCCAAGGTGCCTGATGCCAGCCTTTGACACCCACATTTTGCCCAGAGATACCAATCCAGCCAGCTGGTTAAATGATACCACCAAGACCCTTGTGAAATTGCTGGCAACACTGCTGTTGGGATCAGTCAGCCCACATCTGCCTGGCTTGAGCAGAGCTGAAGCCTCTTTCTCTTGCCCAGATTCACACTCCCATCAGAACATCTCCTATGCTTCCAGCACCCCAGTGGCTTCCCCCTGCCCTGCCATCTGGCCTCTCCTATGTTCCTCCTGCATCCCCAAAGCTGCTAAACCCATTGGGATTGCTTGCTTTGGCAAGTCTAAACCCTGTCTAGCATTCAACAAGTCTGACCATGAGACCATGGGGAAGGGAGCTCCAACAGACTGCGAGTGGTCCTGGCACACTCATCCCAGGCTATGCCACCTCTGGCAGCAGGGACCTGATGCCTGGATCACACTCCCGAGCAGCRGCACTCCAACACACTCCTACCCCAGGGGAACTCCTGAAGCTGGGAACCACCTCCACCCTGGAGCTGGCTGCTCCTTGCTCCCTGTGCAGTAGTTACGCTCCACAGAGGCGAAGCAACTAAGGGCACCTTTTCCTAATGCTGAGAGGTGGTCGAGGGCTGGATGGTGGCAGGTAGGTGAGGATGAGGAGGAGACCCTGAAAAAAAATATGATCATCATTGTGAAGAAGCCAGTTATTACCACAGCTCAAGGTRTTGTAATTTGCTGCAAAATTTCCTCCAGCCCTGAGTAACACTGTGCTCAGGCAGAGAGCACCAGCAGCCTGTCTCTGAGTGAGTCTTCCCCTTGTTGTGCTATCATTAGAACAAATTGTCCTTCCCTGAGCAATAACACAGAAGGAAAGACACTGTTATCTAGCTACTGTTGACAAGCAATTAACTTGTTTTTCGGTCATGACAGCTCCTTGACTCCCCCATCCCTCAGCTCGTGCCACTTCTGCTTCCCAGCTTCTTTGTGTATCACGCCAAAAGACTGCCTCTGCCACTCTGTCTCTTTGATCCCCTCTGTCCCACAGATAGATACCCACCAGCTTATCCATCTGCCCCCATGGGATATCCTTCTGGGCATGCATATGCACCAGGGCATCTCTGCTCAGGGAGCCCGACGCCACCTTTCAGCTTTGGAAGCCAGCACTCACCTTTTTGAGGAAGGGCCTGCAGCTTTGCCACTCGTTCAGGGGAGACCTCCAGTCCAGCTCAGGCAATGTTAGGAGGATGCAGACCACTGAAGAGTTTATCCGGGCAGCTCTGTCATCCCAGTCAGTCCTGTCCAGCGCTCCGCTGCCTCCCGCTGCCTGCCACCAGCTCTGCTCTCTCTCCTTCTGGAGCTCCTCTGCTCTCTCACACTCCCCCTTTTCCCTCCCTCTGCTCTTGCTGCTGATCCATAGTTCTCTGTTGGTTTTTTTTTCCCCTCTCCCTGAGGTTGGAGTTAACTCCTCTCTGCCCAGGTTTCCTGCACACTCAGCTTCTCCCTGCTCCTTCTGCAGAGGAGGGGGTGGCAGAGAAAGCTCATTACTCTCTGGTGGAAGAGGGAGGATGCAGTGGGGAAGGCTCCCTTGGACCTCAGCAGACACCTCTTGATGTTGGGGGTACAGGACATGCTATCCAACACCTCTGGGGAGTGTAAATATCCCACCACTGTGAACCTGATCCCTGCTCTGTCCCTGGGATAGGGCCTTAAACCCTCTGCAATTAATTGCTGTTACTAGCTGTTGTTAATTAATTGTTAGTAGCATGGCACTGAGCAGATCAAGTCTCTCCCACAATGTCTGACCTGGGGAAGGAGGAGAAAGCAGGTTTTGGATTCCATCCAATCCAGGTCTGCACTCCCCCAGTACTGCAGTGTGGGAGGGAGGACAAGACCTCCAGGATGGTCACCTGCAGAGGTCTAGCTCCATCACAGCTGCCTGGGACAGCATGGGTGCTGGCTGATTTGCCAAGAGACATCAGCGACCCACACAGCCTTCCTGCCCCGCCGCTCTGCTGCTGTGTCCATCCTGGTGATAGGACCCGTGCCCTGATGTGCGTTAAGGTGGAGTGCAGCTTGGTGATCGTTTCTCAGCAAAGCTCAAAGGCCACCAGCTTCTCTTCACTGGGAAGGTCACAGGTGCCTCTTCCAATGAGGAAGCAGGAGATGGAGAAGGAGGCGCTGGCCCCTTCCCCTCCACATTAGCCCCAATATCCCCACTGGCTCAGTGGCACCCCTCAGCCTGGCAGGAGGGACCATACAGCCTGTCCCCGCCACCTGCCCCTCTGGCGGGAAGGAGCGAGGTGTTCCCGCCGCTCCCTATCAGCCGCTGTAACCAGGGAAAAGGGGAAGGCCATGCCTCGGGACGCGGCGATAACCCAGGGGATGCGGCGGAGTGCAAGCCTGCAGTCGGGCACAGCCTGCCACGGCGCCGCTCGCCATGGAGGGACCGCACGGCAGCTGCCTCATCCTCCTCCTCCTCTGCCTGCTCCCACCACTGGGCATCCCAAGCCCACCGCCGCCGCCGGAGGAACCTCGGGAGCTGCTGCCGCCACCGTCCAGCACCGCTGACCCCACCGCCCACCTGCTGCGCGGCCACCCCTCGGCCCCGGTGAGGCCCTACAGCCTCTCGCTCTCCCCCAAGGATTATCGCTACTCTCCCAAGCCCCGGCACCTGCGACCCGGGCGGCTGCGCCGGCTCCTGGGCTCGGCCTTCGACCCCTTCTGGATGGCGACCGAGGAGCCCCGGGGCCGCAACGGCAGCGCCCTCGAGGAGAACCTGGAGTCCATGAGCAGGGATCTGGCCGAGGGCGCCGGGCGGTACCACCGCCAGCTGTGGCGAGAGGCGGAGGGGCTGGAGCTGCCCGCCCTGCTGCCCGCCGCCTCAGGGCTGCCCCCGGAGCTGCCGGCGGCCCTGGCCCGCCGCCTGCGGCAGTGGCTGGTGGAAAGGGCCACCTGCCGCCTCACCTCCGCCTGGGTCGATCTGGGACCCGTCTTCTGGCCCCGCTGGGTGCGCCACACCACGTGCGAGAGCGGCGGCCCCGGCTGCTCCTGGCCCCCCGGCATGTCCTGCCGCCCCGCGCAGCTCACCCGCATCAAGCTGCTGGCCTGGCACTGCTGGACCCCCCAGCAGCCGGGGCCCCAAAACTGCGCCTGGCGCCAGGTCCCCTACCCCGTCGTGGCCGCCTGCAAGTGCTCCTGCCGCTGAGGGGGCTGCGGSGCTACAGAGGCACCAACTGGTCCCCGTTCTGGCAGCCGAAACGCCTGAAAAGGCAAGCGTCTGCCTGCACTTAAGCCTCGGAACAGGGAGAAAATCCCCTTACGGAAATAAACCTCCAGAAAGGAAGTGGGGATTGCTGTGCTCGTTGCTGTGTCTCGCCGAAATCCCTGGGTAGCGGTTGCAGCTGCTTTGCCCCTCTCCCACCAGTGCAGTGAGGCATTAGCACCAGCGGAGGCCCTTGTGCAGCATTTATCTCTAGCAAAGGATGAGGGATGGGGAAATTATGGCACCGAGTAACAGGTTCAGACCCTATTTGCATCAGCCCCAGCAAGCTCACTCCAAGCTGGGGCATCCTTGCCTGCCTGGGTGGGGCTGCAGGCAAGAAGCAAGGCAAGGGAATTCCAGCAAAGGGTAGAGAGAGGTGGGTCACTGCTCAGGGTGGAACCAGCAACGTGGAGAGGGGCTGGAGTGAACCAGCGGGCAGGGGGCCAGGTTTGGGACTGCAGTGAGACAGCCTAGTGAGGGTAGAAGAAGTGGGGGGTGGGCCACGACCCAGAGCTGGAAGCATTTGTGGGGCTGGGTGCGTATGAAAATGGCATGGGATGGGATAGTCCCCTACTTCGAGGTAAAATGGGTAAAATATGTGGATGCCCCACTGATCCCATGGTGCAGAGGGTGACAGCTCCAGACCCACAACTGCCACAACAACATACAGGGTACAGGGTGGGTCATGGAGCCCAGGGTCAGAACTGCATCTTCCAAAAGTGGCATCTGCCTCTACATTCCACTCAGCAAAAAATCCTCTGGTTTCTAGGCTAAAAGCTGCCTAGAGCTGTAGATCAGACCTAGGCTGGGAAGCCTTGAAGAAATTAAGAATGGGAGGATTTGCCTGGGAATGCAGTATTAATGTGGTGCCTGCAAGTCAATGGGCACAGCATTATTCATTTCCAGCATGACATCATCTGACCCTCCTGCCTTCCTGGGGCCCCAGCACTCCCCAGTCTGCTCCCCAGACAGCTCCCACAATCTGGTGCAGGGCTTGGCCTTGAGGCAGGCAGAGTGCCAAGGGGCCTGAGAGATAGGGAGGGGAGAGAGAGGTCAGTACTCCTGGTGAGAAGAGGAACAGAGGGGGAAGCCTTCATGTGCATACAGAAATAATTGTGAGCATCACAGGAGGGAGGTTGCTGCTGCTCTGGCCTGCAGCTGAATAGCAAAACATGGGTATGGCTGCTCTCCCTCTGAGGGGGACTTGAAACCTGGAGCAGGATTAAACTGCTAGGGTTCCCTGCCCTGGGTGGAGTCAAGGCATCAGCAGGGCTGCAGAAGACCAGGGGAGATGGGGAGACCAGGACTGGGGACCAGCAAGAGAGAAATGTGAAGGAGCACGGTACAGGATTGCAGAGGGAGKGAACAAGGGGTACAAGTCCATTGGGCTCAAAACAGCAGTGATTTAGTTTAGGCTCTCAACCTCCCTGTACCCAAGCCCACCTGGCTGAAGCTCCATCTCTTCAAATTTGCAAGAGGGGCCCGAAAGCAATCCCCTTGCCTTCCCCGCTACAATTCCCATGCCAAAACACTGCCTGTTGAAAAGGGGCTGTAGCACTTCGAGGCCCTCCCACAGAAAGGGAACTCTGTATCATAGTTTATCAGCAGGCTGAGCTCAGGGCCTGCGGAGGTGGAAAATTAAACAAAATCAGCACACGGTTACACTACCAGCTGTTTTAACAGGGTTTGGTTGCAGTCCTGTCAAACCTACAGAACACATTTCTCCCCTGTCCTCTGCATCTTGTGAACCCCTACAATCCTGGATTAACGCCTATATTCTTCTGCAGCTGAGGTCAGGTCAGACATTAWTGCCCTGTGGCTTGCTCCCTTGACTGCCTAAAGGCACACAGCAACTTCAGAGCAGGTCTATGCTGATGTGACACAGTGCTCAGCACACTCCATTTCAGCTGGAATCTGTCCCTGGCTGCAGCTGCTCCTTCAGCACATAAACAGCTGGCAGGACACACAATTTCTGATCTGGAGCAAAACTGATGCAAACAAAGCAATCCTAAGAGATGCCCAGGTCCCACTTGCTCCTGCTGGAATGCTGAAATGCTATACCAGCACAGCTTGGAGGAACAAACCAGAGATTCCTGCCACATTGAAGAAAAATCAAGGTTTCTGTCACCTGCTCTGCCCCTGGCCTTAGCAATATGCAGGTCCTCTCACCATGCTGCTGGCCTCTGCCACCTCAGCTTGCCTGCTGAGCTTGCCTGCTGGCCTCTCTGGAGCAAGGYGTCTTTCCCAGGGCAGGTTTGGGACTACTGAAGCAATTGGTAAAGCCTTGTAGCTGGGTACAAGCGAGCCTCACCTCTAACACATGAGAGCGAGAAGGAGAGAAAGAAGCACTGGAGTTTTGGCTGGCCCACGTCCTCTTTCCTAACCAGCTGCTGGTGGCAGAGGTTGCAAAGGGCTTGGGAAACAGCCCTGCCTCGGTGGGGGATTGCAGCAGTCAGATCTGCCACGGTTATGCTGCTGGACCCACAGGACAGCATAGAAGAAACAGGCAACATCAGACACGTCAGCAACGCTGTATTTCCATCAGCAGGAGACAGCAGGAACTGCAGTACTTCAGCATATGGACTGAGGCCTCAGGGAAAACATAGCAGCGTGCCTGGTCACAGCATGAGATGATGGGGATGGGGTGCAGCTCCTGGATGAGGAAACAGGAGGCAAACAAACATCTGCTGCGCTGCTGGACACCTTTAATGACACTTTAAAGTGCTGGTTGTCAGTGCTACTGCCAGCATGCTGCAACAGCCAGCTGGCTGCCTCAAGAGATRCAGGCTGTGATGCCTTGAGGGACGGTCCTGCTTCTGGCAGTGTGCTGCTCAAGCCTTTTTCCCCGGCAGAGGCACTTGGTTGTGGGCAGGGATGGTGCTGAGGAGATGTTTGCTGGCCCGTCAAGGCAGCGCTCCATGTTTCCGTCCCACCTCGGTGAAGGCTTCCACRCAGCGGTCAATGTCCTCGTCACTGTGCACGGCCGAGATCTGGACCCGAATGCGGGCCTTTCCCTTGGGCACCACAGGGTAGCTGAAGCCAATGACATAAATGCCTGGGGAGGAAATGCAGGCAGTCAGAGATGGCTGGGAGGAAAGGAGGCAGGCTGAGATGTACTGGGTGACAGATAGGCTCCCCTCCCCATAGCCACTTCCAGACTTGAGGGTTTTCAAATGCCATCTGCTCCTAAGCGTGGAAATTAGGTTTAGGGCCAGTGATGGGGGTGGAGTCTAGCATGACAGGACAAGAGCATGAATGGAAATCCCCTCCCTAAAGAGAAAGAAGGTAAAGCCAGCAACATCTGGGGGAGAATATGAGGATGTCTGCAGCTGGAGGGTGGAGGAGTAATGGATTTCATGCAGGAACATCCTCCAGAGGAGGGCTTGTGGTGACACCACCACCAATTGTGCCTTCCTGCAGGGAATGTGTCTGCATCCTGAGCTCCCTCCCTGGATCACCTCTGTTCAGCATGTCCTCTGCCATCACTGATGCCAGCCGAGCATCCCCCAGCATGACTGGACAGATGGGGTGATCTTTCCCCGAGATGGTGAAGCCAGCTGCTGTCATCTTACTTCTGAACCTGGTGATGAGAACAATAGGATGAGTCAAAACCTCATCACCCCTGTCCTTGGAGACCACTGCCTTTCTTCCTTCTGGAAGCCCTGGCCACTGGAGACAGGTTGAAGTTGGTCCCACTGTGAATCTTCTGTGCAGGGCAGAGATCTCTACTCTTGGAGTGATCTCCTGGCCATGTCCTGCTCAGCAAAACAGGACTGCAGATCCTTGAGGGGCAGATGTGTTCAAGCACACAGAACATCCAGATGTGGCACATCTGTCTGCACATCTGTCTACTATAGACAGGCACATCCTGCAGGCTCCCCTGAACTCTGACTTGCAAACTATCTTCACAGCTATCACTGGGGAACGTGGTGTGTGTTAATAAATACATATGGACAACTCATTCCCAACAAAGCTGACCCTGCTCCCACCCCAACACGGCCCCCTCACCGTTGGGTTTTGGCAGCCATAGACTGTGCAATGGCATTGCTCTCCATGAGCAGGTCCAGGGCCTTGGATGCACAGCCCACCACAGCAGGGGGCAGGCTGTTGGAGAAGAGGTATGGGCGGGAACGCTGGCGGAGCAGATCAATGAGGGGTTTGGGACCAGTTGTGTACCCGCCTGCAGATGGAAGAGAGAGAACTGGACAAGGCACCCAGCGTGACCTGCTCAGAGCAGGGCACCTTGATAAAGCAAACCTGGAACTCTAACAGGAATTTAATTACAAACCAGGTCTAAAACACACAGCTGATGCTTTTGACCAAGAGTTTCCACCTTGACCCCAAAGGGAAACACATGAGAAAGACAACAGCATAAGGAGCACACAGCAGGATCTCCCTGAACCCCACAGCAACATCACAAACCAAGCTTCATGCTACCAGTGGAAGAGAATAACATGCATCTGTTACTCTATCATTAGGCAGAGGAAGGAAACAACACTGATGCTGTAGAGTTCTTTATAGCATACGGGACYCTGAACAGGAAAATGCCTTCACCTGCAGCTCCTCCAAGAGCTTTTCCCAGGGTGGAATTGATGATGGTGACTTTGTCCATCACCCCCAGAAGCTCATCGGTACCCCTGTTGAAAAAGGAATATCACGTTGTCAGTCGTACYAGCACGCACCAGGGAAGCTCTCAGATACCTCAAGGGAAACAAAACACCATCAGCCAGGTCTCTGGCATCTCCTCCCTTGTAGGGAGGAACAGCCCCTGTGATAGTTCAACCCTTCCTTTCCTGCAGAAAACCTAAGCTGGGACCTCACAAAGTAAGAGCATGGGTTCTTCATCCCTTACAGATGGGAGAGTGCTCAAACTTCCCCCACAGAAGTTTAATAGTCCAAACAAAGAACATGCCAGGAGAGGCAGATAAGATGGTCACACCATCCACTACACACTGCAAAGCAGCTGACACTTTGGGATGGATCACTGCTAAAGTATCACCCTTCAATCTCCAGGTATCCCAAAGTTGAGGTGCAAAGCCTTCAAAGAGTCCCCACACAAAACCATGTGGGTCATCAGCCCTTTGGCCTTGCTTCAGAATTGGAGCAGAAGGAAGAAACAGGTGTGAAGCCATCACTTACCGGCCATTGGGTCCCAGGAAGCCTGTGGCATGGCATTCATCGATGAACACCAGGGCATCATACTTCTGGGCTAGCTGGCAGATTTCCCTCAGAGGTGCAATGTCACCATCCATGGAGAAGGCACCATCAGTGGCCACCAGCCGCAGTCGATGTTTCTATTGGAGGGAAAAAGGCATCCCCAGGSGTGAAGATGTCACCCTGAGGAGGGGGACTGGCAACGGGACATACTCTAACTCCTGTTTGGAAAGGATGTATCTAACTGAGATGGGGAGATCTGCAGTGCAACCATCTGCTTTGCCACCTTGCTTAACCCTGCCTGTCAGTAAAAYCACTGCCTATTGCATGGGGAAAGGCAAAGCTCACCCTCCAGGACTGGTTACAGGCAGCACAGCTAAGCAAGTGCCCTGCCACTGGGGTGGGAGCAGACCTCCATACCTGTGCCTCCTTCAGTTTGGCCTCCAGGTCCTGCATGTCCATGTGCTTGTAGCGGTACTTATTGGCCTTGCACAGGCGGATCCCATCGATGATKGAAGCGTGGTTCAGCTCATCCGACAGCACTGCATCCTCTGGGGTCAGCAGGGCCTGCCCATGCCAAACAAAAAGGATCATCCTTTGCTCCAGATGCCAGCTCACTAAGATCTCCCAGCCTCCCTCAGTACAGAGAACAATGCTATGATTGAGTGCAGCTGCCACATTTCTCCTGGCACTGCTACATTTTGTATTTCCTTCCTAGCCACCTTATACCGTGCTGTCTTTAGGCAGGCTCTTCCTTATGATTTCTGAACTCAAAACCTCCCTCCCCCTTCCCTAACATGACTGGGACATCACCCCTTCCCCTCAYCTACGCTTTTAGGGGGACTACTGGCCTCCAAGGAAATGGGAGCCCTCCCCAAGACCTGGAACTGATTGGACACAGGGGAGGTGAGGGCTGGTTAAATGCCTCTGCATGTCTTCCCTGGTCTAAGGGCCCCAAGCCAGGGCTCTACACCACCAGTCACTGCCATCTTTTCTGGCACACAGAGCCCACATCAGAGCCTCTGGAAGGCATGGCAGCCACATGGCTGTTACCCCCCTCCTCCATGCACAACAAAAGGAAAGCCTTATGAACCTCAAAGATACCAGCATTGGCATCAAAGCAGCTGGCATAGAGAATGGCATCTTCCCGCTGGTGGAAACGGGCRATTTTGTCCTCCAGGTCTTTGTGTATGCTCTAAAGAGGAGAGAGGAGTAAGAGTCAACAGTGGGGCAGCACAAGTTCTTGCTTGCCCACTGCTGTTAAATGCTGACTTGAAAGGGGAGGAATCAGCCAGGTGTTTCCCAGAAAAAGAGTGTGTGCATGGAATAAGTTAGCTGAGTTCAGCAAATGCAGCCCTAAACTATGATTATGGGTTTGGGTGCCAAAACCTCAGCAGAGAGACTCCAAGCTCCCCATGCACAGGACAGAAGCTCTGCTTGTTCTTTGCACTCAATCAGGCAGGGCTCAAAAAAGGCTCCAGCAGTGATAAACTGGCGTGGGTCTGATGGAGCCACTTCAAGTCAGGTTCACTATAATTTTGACCCGCAAGAGAGGGGAAAAGGCATTAATTTTCTTAATTCAGAAGGGTGTTTAGCTTCTTTGCTCTCTCAGGTGTTGTAATGGTTTAAATTGGCGTATTTCCAGATCTTTGGCTAGTGGGGACTTGGCAGGCTCTTTTTCTCACCGGGACACGTGTAACTTAGTACTGCGCACGCACGCCGAGTGGGGAAGTCTGCGTGGACACCCTGCGAAAGACCCGCGGGGAAAGGGATGCTGCCCGCTACCTGGGTACCGCAGATAAAGCGGACGGAGCTGAGCCCAGCGCCGAACTTCTCCAGGGCCTCCACAGCGGCACGGATCACTTCGGGGTGGCTGGAAAGCCCGAGGTAGTTATTTGCGCAGAAGTTGATGATCCCTGCGGAAACAGAGAGAAGCAGGGACATGGCACCGGGAGAAGGGACCGAGAGCCTGCCTCCCCGCCGCTCCCCGCACGCACCGGCCCCGCCGCCCGCCAGCTGGAGGTGGGGACCCTGTCTGGAGGCGATGATACGCTCGCTCTTCCAGGTGCCGGCGCCGCGAATATCCTCCAGCTCGCTCTCCAGCCGCTGGCGGAGCTGCGCCGCTGCCGCTCCCGACGCGGCCCGGGGGGCGCCGGCCCCGCCGGCCCCACCGCCCCGCAGCGCCCGCACCGCCGCCACCCGCCACATCCCGGCCCTGCAGCTCCGCCCTGCACGCCCGGGGGCGGGCCCCGGCGCCCAATCGCCGCTAATTCACCACGGGTTAATTCCTAACCAATGCCCATTGGCCGCCGGGGCACCGCCTCCGTCGGGCGGGGCGGGCGCCGCAGCCGCTGCAGCCGCTGGGAGCGCTCGGATACTTTCTCTAGGACGCGCTCGGCATCTTCTTTGGAGGAGAGATTCYGTCCCAAAAAGCTTAGGCAGAGCCAGGCGATATGTGATACCACGGGTCTGAGGGATTTTGGGGGTCCATGAGATTTAGGAACTGGAATGGGGTCGTGTACTGGGATCTGCGGGATTTTGTAGTAACAGTGCACCACRGACCTTAAAGATCAAGCCGAGGAGCATTAGGTGCCTCTACCTAGGGATTCGGGGTCCTTAGCACAGGTGACTTAGATCGTGGCAGCTAGGTAGTTTATGGGTACCCACCACTGTGGATAATGAAGAAAGGGTCTGTGGTATTTGGGTATATCCAGCTGAAGTGACCAATAATCCATTGGACAGAGAGGTTTTGGATTTACCAGCTGAAAAWTAGAACACCCAAACCCATGGAATTTGAGCACCTCTGGCTAAATGTGTGTGTAAACTATAGGCCCAGTGGCTTTAGATGCAAAGACTCACAGAGAGATAGGATGGTTTCGGTWGGAAGGGACCTTAAAAATTGCCTAGTTCCAAGCCCCCTGTCATGGGCTAGGACACCTCCCACTAGACCAGGTTGTGCAGAGCCCCATCAAACCTCGACTGGAGTATTTTCAGGGATAGGGCATCCACAGCTTCTCTGGGCAACCTGTTCTATCTGGATCAGACATYTCCTTCCTCCACTACAGCTCATGGGAGAATTCTGTGGCCACAGTGGTTCAGGCCATTCATGCCAGGGGAATTAGGTACCAGGTTCTTGAAAAGTGTTCRGGGTCTTCAGCTTATATGTTCTGGGAGCCTTTGATCCAAGAGTCTTAGGAACAGGAGCCCACAGGGACKAGGTGCATCCTGGCCAAGGATTTCAAGGATTTGTGAAGTACACAATTTGGAATCCTCAATGGCTAAAAGACTCGGGCACCATTTGCCCAAGTGATTTAGGAAGAACAGGCTGAAGAATTTGGGAGTCATGGGAGAGGATGAAAGCCCTGGGCTTATGAGATTTAGGCACRGCAAGCCCAAGGGTACTGGGTACCCAGAGCCCCTGGGATTTTGGAGCTGCTGGCCCAGGAGCTGGGGATCCTGATGATTAAGAAGTTTTTATGTCTCTAGCCAARAGGGATTAGGCAGCCCTGGCTGCCCTGCTGAGCAGTGAGGCCAGTCCGCAGGCTCTCTGCCAGCCCTGGCTGTCAGTGTCACCCAGCCCAGCCCAGGGAGGGGCTCTGGCAGGATCCTGGAGTCGTGCCAGCCCCCACTGGGCACAAAGCCAGAGCCCCCGGGTCACAGCAGGGCTGAGCSCAGTAGTCCTGCCTCACCCTGCCCTGGCTGCCCACCGCCTCAGGATGTTCCTCCATAGGGAGCAAAGGTGCTCATGGCTGTGTTTGTTCTTTCTCCCCACAGTGATCCCACTTCATGGGTCCCTTCAACTCCTTGAACGCCAATGTGGACAGACTCTGGCCTTGCTCCTCCCACTCCAGCCCTCGTGTCTCCTGCCACCCAGGAGTCCCTGCCACCACCCAGCTGTGCTGGCGCAGCTCCACAGGCAGGTGGGCAGCCCTGRTTATCTCCAGCACTAGCTGAACCTCACATGCAGCAGCCCAACATTCCTCACCTCATTCCATGGTGGGGATCTGCAGCCGTGGATGAGGGAGCAGGACCCCTTTTCTTCCTCCAGGGAAGGCCAGGGCTATGTTCCACCTTCCCCACCAGTGTCTTTGCCCAACCCCAGYAAGCACACAACCCCCCAGGAGCTGGGGTAGGACCAGGAATTGAAATCCTGTACAACCCAACAGACACACAGTCACCATCACTCCCAATACACAACAAGCAGCCCAGCATTGATAAAACCAACGGACACACACATGCAAGAAATTTCTGAGACATCAAAATAAAAACACAGACCAGTAATGCTTTAAAATTGGAACTCTCCATACCAAAGATGTTCCCTTTTTTCTTTCATCAACTGCCTTGTTTTAGCTATTTCCATTCAGGACTAGATAAATTCTTTATAAAATGCAATAGAAAGGAGTAAAAATAAAGGCAATAGCTATTTACAGAACCAACAGGGAGAGTACCAAAACACCTCTAGAYTTCTCACTTCTTCTTAGGAGATTTCCGGGCACTGGACTTGGCTCTGGATTTTGACCGCTTTGCCTTCTTGGGTTTGGATGCTTTCAGGGATTTGGCCTTAACAGTCTTTGGCTTCTTGGCTTTCTTCGGGCTCCTTGACTTCTTCCTGGCCTTCCTGGCGGCAGATTTGGGCTTCTTGGTTGGAGACCTGGCTTTCCTGGACTTAGCCCGTTTCCGGGGCGAAGTGGACCTCCTGGCCGCCTTCTTCCTCTTTGTGGCTGGAGACCTCTTCGCCTTGCTGGCCTTGGCTAGGCGGAAAGAGCCAGAGGCACCAACTCCTTTGGTCTGCTTGAGGACTCCGGTGGCCAGCAGGCGCCGGATGGCCAGCCTGATCTGGACGTCGGCATTCGGGCCCACCTTGTAGTGGCTCTTCACGTACTTCTGGATGGACTGCCGGGATGAGCCGCCGCGGGTCTTGTCAGCCCGGATGGCTGCCGTGATCATGTCCGAGTAGGCTGGGTGGGCTGCCGGACGCCGCGCTGACCGGGGCCGCTTGGGCTTGGTGGCCGGAGCCGGTGGCAGTGGGATCGGGCTGTCGCTCATGGCGAGTGCTTCGTCCCTCGATGCCCCGCGATGCTCTCACGGCCGAAAGTGTGGCTCGCCCGCCCCTGGGCGGGGAGAGGCTGGGAAGGGAGCGGTGGCTGGGTGAAGCCGCAGCAGAGCCAGTGCCGCTCTGCCGCCGGTGCCCCCGCTGGTGCCTCTGTGGCCGCACCCGCCGCGAGYTCCCTTTAAAGCCGCGGTGCGGACCGCGGGGAGGACTGCCCCGGGCGCGCCACCCGTGTCCCGCGGGTCCCCTGCCACGCCCTGACCCGACCCGCCGGGAGGGACAGGGAGGGACAGTCCGGGGGACACTGTGGAATAAATAAGAGTATTTGGGGGAACACATGGTGGGGACAAGGAGGGACACTGGTGGGATCAGTGTGGGATATTGAAGAGCAAGGACTTGGAGGGGACATTTAGGGGGTCAACCTAGGTACAAGGTGCACTTGGAAGAATATTTTGTGGGGACAAGGAAGGACACTGAAGGGGACATTGGGGACACTGGTGAGACAGGGACAGGCATGTCAGGGATCCTCAGAGCAACATCAAGAGATGCAGAGGGAGGACAAAGGGGGTTAGGGAGAGACATTTAGGGGGGACACAAAGAGACATACTGCAAAAATATTCAGGGGACAAGGAAAGGGGGCAAGAAGGGACACTAAAGAAGACACTGGGGATGGTGCCAAGGAGAAAAGGATGAGCACTGAGCACAWATCAGCTCAGCAGCAATACCCCATGGCCAAGTGCCTCTACTCCCTCTTCTGCCCCTTTGCTCTCCATCAGGTGYTTTAGGAACACCAGCTCAGCCCTGCGTGTGAATGGTGAGGGGTCACAAATAACAAGCTGTCCCCTTGTTTTGGGAGACACACACAACTCTTGGTGAGGGGACATGGTGGCAATCAGCCATCCTTTCCCCGCTGGGTGTCGGCTGTTCCTGGGAGATTAAATATAGCTGCTATCATCATCTTGCCTGTAGGATTTAGATGATGTTTTCCCCTTATTTCTTAAAAACACGCGGGTGCAGCCACCTGGTGCCCACCAACACACCATGCAGCACTCAGAGGAGAACCAAACCTCAAAATGCTTCAGCATGGCATTAAAACACACAGTGAACCCCTCTTGATACGCTCTGTGTGCCCTGGATGTCCAGAGCCATGAAAACCACCAGCCAAGGACACATGGGAATACACATAAAAAAATCAACATAGATACATAAATACAAATATAAATTCAGAAAYTGAAATAATAGAAATAGTAGAAATTGAGATAATGGAAATTAGAACCATAAAATSATAGGATTGTTTGGGTTGGAAGGGACATTAAAGATCATCCAGTTCCAACTCCCCTGCCATAGGCAGGGACAMCTTCCACTAGACCAACTTGCTCAAAGCCCCATCAAACCTGTCTTTAAAACACTTTTCAGGGATGAGGCGTCCACAACTTCTCTGGGCAACCTGTTCCAGTGCCTCACCACACTCACAATTTTTTCCTACTATATTATCTAAACTTGCCCTTTTTCTGTTTAGAGCCATTCCCCCTTGTCCTAYCACTACATTTAAATATAAATTGAAATCTTTGATACCCGCTCCTGCATGATGTGAGGACCTGGCTGGAGAGGAGGCACTGATGCTTTCCCACAGATGGAAGGGCTACCAAGTGCATCTCCTTGTGCCTTCCTCCCTGATGGAGTTTCTTCATGTGCTCCATTCCATTTGGGGAGTGGGAAAGGTTCTCAGCACCTGCAAACCTYTTGATTTTATTAGGAGCAAATCGCTCTTAACTGTGGAGTGGAATAACCACCGTCCCACCCTCCCAGGGTTTGCTTTTGTTTAAGACCTAATAAATACATGGCTTTCCATCCCAAATGGAGGGCATGGGCAGGGAGCTCTGGTGGCCCCTGTACAACACTTTGACCCACCGAAGGACCTCTCATTTTTCCTAGCTGGGAATAAACTGCTGGYGCTGGCTGCCTGCACGTAGGCAAGCCAGGCACACAGATAAGGCACCATCTGCTTTTATTTACATCCAAGTTTTTAACCGTCATGAGCAACTCGCCCATACACCAGGCTCTAAGGGGAGATGAGGAGCTTCAGGAATTGGCCCTCGGGACTGGCACAGTGCCATGGGCTCCAGCCCTAAAGCCCAGGCAGCCATTATCAATCCAGTGCAGGGATGGGGAGGCAAAGGCGGTGGGGGGAAAGGCGGCAGGGAGGGACGCTGCAAATGCTTTTACCTAACTTTAGCCACCTTAGGGGTCTAATCTCAACCATTCACCTGGGCACCTCCTGCAGCTGATCCAGGCTGCTCAGCCTCCTCCGGCGGGTGCCGCTGCTCACAAACAAACACGCTCTCCCTTATGCATGGAGGTTCTGGCCCTTTCATACAGACAAGATCCCTAATTTTTAGCCAGTCAAACTAAGGGGAAGATCCTGTAGCCCCAAGCAAATCACTGGTAGGAAGGCACAGGAGGTCACAGCTCATCAGGCTGCTGTTGGCTTTGCACATGGGGGTAACCTGGTCAAGGCAAACCCCCAAGCACCCCATGTGATATACCAATGCACCCCTTGAACCCTGCACTGTTTTGACAATGCACCTTTAACATGAACTGGTCAGGATTGAGAGGATGAGAGGATTTTCTAGCCCCTGGCAGGATCTCAGGGCTAGAGGTGGAATTCACATGCTGCCAAGCCCTGCTATCGCTGGGAAGTAGGTCCAGCACTTCTGGCACTCCATTGCAGGCAGCACAGCACAGGGGTCTCATCCAGAAGGAAGAGTTATTTCCATAGGCCACATGTGCCACCATGGGTTCACGCCTGTTTTTGGCCATGGGAACCTGCCACCATGCCCAGGATGAGGTGAGCTACCCCCTGCACCTACTTTTCTCCTCAAGAATTGCTACCCAACCACTCAAAACCTCCAGTGCCTTCCCTTTCTGGTATTAGTCGGCAGAGATTGGGAAATCCCACTTCTCTGACAAACTCCAGAAGACAGAGCCTGGCAGAAGAATCCTCTCTGTAATCCTGTTTACCTTCTCCTCCCTCCCTGCACTGAGTTCAACCAGACCCCATGGGAATTCACACATTTCCAGCTGCAGATTTTGTCTTAAATGGTCAAACCATGTCCACTGTGGATGTGCTACGGATCCACCGGGTAACAGCCCCTGCCTTGTAGGGACAGAACAGCTGTTCATCGTCCTTTGAGAGCACCAGGGCAGTTCTGGCAATTAATGTCAGAGAAAATATTTCGTTTTACCCAGTTTCCATTTCAGAGAGACTCAAAATGCCCAGCAGTGGGACTCGTCTCGGTGGTACTCAGATCCAAGCGCTTCTGTGCTTTTTTAACAGCAAAACAGGGAAATGAGCTGATGTTCCAGCTGTGCTCATCAGAGATTCAGCTTTGAGTCCCAGTGTGCAATGCAGTGTGGTCGGCCCAGCATGATGCCACCCAGCCTGGCCACTGCTAGGAGCAGAGCAGGCTTGAAGGACACAAATAAATGGCAAAGGGGCATTGCCTCTGACTGCTGGACCCATTACCACTGTTTCAAAAGATTTACAAGGTGGTTTTTAAGGGCAAGCTCCTTATGTGAGCTGGGATGCTGGCTCCCACGCAACTGTGGCGCTTTACAGATGCAGGGTTTCCCTGTGCTGGAGGCTGTGACATTTCTCACAGCCACAACCCAGCTGTGAACAAGCAGATGGAATATGACCATCACGGTGGGATCTTTTTTGGGCTCTGCCAGCCATCATGCCTGTCATCCATGGGCATTTTGGTCATCTCTCCCAGCCACTCTTCCTCAACGCAGCTCCCCTGCTCCCAGGAGATAAGGATGTGCAGATGACGGGGTAACCTTATCGCCCTGATGCAGACGAGACAGGGTCTGCCTGATAACTGCYGCGCCAATTTTGGAGGTGGCGTCCCCCATCACCCCAGCATGAGGGGATGGTCCTACCCTGCCCGGGGCTGATCTGCAGCCACAGAGCCTGGAGGAGTGGCAGCTCCACCACATGTCAGGGGCACACACATTTCACCTGTGCTTACGCCACACATTTATCAGGCTAAGCAGCCCTCCCCAGAATGGAAAAAAACAACATCCCACCCCAACAAACGAACCCAAACACAAGATACTGAACTCTTCAGGAAAGGGGTGGATGAGCAGGGTGCTGAGCACTGTGCAAACAGCAGTTTGCAGTTCACCTCTTGCTTGCCCTCTGCTTGCCCCAGTTTTGGGAGTTTCCTCCCTCAGGAGTAGGTGCAACTATGCAGACTGTTGTTTGAGTGGTTATTTTTTCTAAAAAACACAGACACMACCCGGCCCCCAACACTCTGCCCTGAACTCTTTTTTTCCCCTCCTTTATTGGCTTCAATAAATCCCTATGGCAAGACCAAGCCCTGCAGGCTGAAAACAGTTGCCCTGAGCTATTCTTTCATCTCATCTTCCTTGCCACCCTAACCCCCTGAATACCAAATAGTCACCCCATTCCAAGCTTGATGGCAACAGCCATGTCCTGCTGGAAGGCAGAGGGAAAAGCCTGGACCTTGAGCAGCACAGAGAAAAAATGGTTTCTAGCCCAGAGGCAGGAAGCCAAGAACCATYAAGAGCAAGTCCTGGTGCTTGACAGGCATAGTGGGGAGCTGAGCTCATTGCTTGGACTCTTGCACCATCCATTGGGTTGCCCAAGAGCTTCGTGCACGTGACTAAAATCTGCAACCCAACTTTACCAGAATTTGTGACTAACAAAGTGGTTGCCTTACTTAAGGAGAGTAGTCCCTGCAGCCCCTCCCAAGGGAAAGGCAGACCTGCATCCTCCTGCCCCAGGGGATGCCAATACCATGTCAACGTGAACACTTGCTGAGCAAAAGAGTGCCACCCTAACTCCCCTCATTCTGGCTGCCACCACATTCTTACACTCTGCTTCCCTCCCCAGGTCTCAGTACTCCAGGCTCCAAGYCAACACATCTGTCACCTCCATCCAAGGATCCTCCTTGACCCCTGTGTCTTCTCTTCAGACGCTGCCTCCAGCCCCAGAAGGTGCCCACAATTAGGTCTCTTCCATAATCGCCAGCACCCTCTCTGTAGAACAATAGCTCCTGTTTACATTGGGATGGGGCTGAACGAGAAGTAGTCACCCCCAGGTCCTCCATCCTGACAAAAAAAAGCAATATGCTTCACAAAGAAAAACAGTAGGAGGAAAGTGTTTGATATCCCTCTCATCCCAAGATCTCTGTATACTGTTTACTTTGACAGTAATTTGCAGAGCCATGTGTCCTTGCAATATTGGATTTAATAATGCAGCCCAGGCTCAGTTCTTCCTCCATGAGAATCAGGGTCAACAAGGAATTTTGGGAGCAGTGTGGTGAAGGAGATTATTTTCCCCCTCAAACTCAAAGGTGGAGCAAACTTCTGGATAACAGCACTGCAAGTCTCTCATTCTCTGGCCAGGGGCACTCCTGCTGCTTTCCCTCACCAAATCCTGAAGAAAGGAAGCAACTGGTCAGTATACCCCAAAACCCTGAAAAATCACACACACACACACACCCCCACACCCCCCCCCACACACACACACACACACACACCCTCACCACTGATTAGGGCCACAGGGTAAGCCTTTCTCTCAAGGAACACATTTTTCTCAGCGAAAGGGGGAGATTTTATTAAGTTAAAAGTTGAAGGGCACAGTGGAGCAGCAGCAGCTGCTGCCTTGGGGAGGTTGGCTCGAGTGGGTGCAATAGCAGCCTCACAGCTCCTGTTCCCCAGAAAGGAGAAGCCCCGTGGCTCTGGGCTCCTGCCAACTCTGGTTCTTGCAGGAGCCAAAAGGGCAGTCACGGAGAGAGCTCGATCATGCAGATTCTTGCCAAGGTGTCCTCTTTCAAACATCTCAGGCAAGCACATCCATGGCAGATTGCCCCAGCAGCTCCCTCCTATGGCTTGCATATCTTCTCCACAGATCCCTGGGGGTGGCATGGGGAGGAGGAGTGTGGTCCTTGCTGTACATCCCAGGGGGACCATGGAGACACTTGGAATAGAGGGAATATGTGCCAAAAGTGGCTTTGTGTGGCCAGAAGAAATGGGGTTAGGAAAGGGGGAAAAAAACAGACTCTCTTTTTCAGGTTAGAAAAATGCTGGTGATGTAGTAAAAGCTTTCCTCCTCTTCCCCTCCTTTCCATGGGGGAAAAATTCCTCTATAAAATATAATTTTCACATATAAAATCCTGAAGAAGGTGCATGTAAGCAGTCGGTCCAAACAACGTGCTCAGGTATGCAGGCAAAAAGGGTTCATCAAAAAAGCTTTGGGAGGGGAGTGAGGAGGCTGGGTGTGTAGGATTCCTCGCCAAGTGATAATGGATAGGGATTCGACCTCCCTTTCCCCACAAGTGAGGAATGGAGCAAATACAAAACAAGAACAGATAGCAAACGTAGAGCAGACCTAGAGAGAGACAAAACCAGAAACGGTTTAGAAAGAGTCCAGTGAGCACAGAAATGTCATCCTTTCAGTTCCCTGGGCAGATGGCTGTCTGGTGCCCTGCTACAGACCCACTCATCTCAGCGCCCATTAGCAAGTGTTGGAGGAGAAGGGTGACCCCAATCCAAGCAAGAAGCAGAAGCACTCTGGACAACAGGATGCCTTTGTTCCTGTCACTCTGATTCTCCCCCCATCTGTGGCAGAGATGCCTGCAGGTGAGTGTGGGARAAGGGCTGGGTCTAGTTGTGGCCGCTTTGATGCAGACCTAAAATTATTGTGCTTCGATAGAGAAACCACTTCAAAGGTGAAGGGAGCAGAATTGTTACCTACAGAGGGAATGTCTAACTACTCKTGCTGTCACCCAAGCACAGGGTGAAGGCCAGCATTTGCCTGGCTCCCACAAGCAGCCTGGTTGAATAGTGATTAGTGCTGACTGCATGAAGAGCAGCACCATCAAAAGTGGGCTAGGGCCCTCGGGAGAACATCAGGGACAACAGGAAGGTCAGGAGAGCAGCCCAAGAGGATGCGAGAAGCAGAGGAGAATGAGTTTAAGCCTGAAGTTTCCAAACTGAGTGGAGCAAGAGAAACTGGCAGCTTCCACGGCCCTGGAGCAGCCAGTCTCAGACACCTGGAGCCGCAGGGGACGTGCCAGCATCCCCAGTGCTCACCGTTACTTGCTGTTGCACAGCGACTCCTTCTCCTGCAGAGCCACCATGGCCAGGCGCAGGTGCTCCTTCAGCTGCTCGATCTCTCGTTCTGAGCGCACCTTAATGTGATTCAGCTCTGCATAGACATCTTGGTACTTCCCTGAGGCAAATCTCTTGTCCTGCCAGGGGAGGGAGATGGGTCAGCATGTTTCRGGGCTGGTGTTAGGGAGGGTGGCAGCAAGGTGAGCCCAGCAGAAGAACCAGCAGGTGAAGAGCAGAGAGCTAGCCATGGGTTTGAAGCCCATCCCAATCTGGGCCATGCAGAAACCATTCAGAAGAGGAGCATGGAGGTATCACTTTGTAAACACTGGGCCAAAGAGAAAGGCAGAGATGCTGGTCCCACAGCAGTAGGGATCTGCAGCATCAGATTGACGAGGTGATGCAGCCTTTATCATGGATTGTGTGCATGTGGGGCAGTCATATGAGAAAAATAAACCCCACCAAGAATGCAGGCCACCRAGAGAACCGAGTGCAGCTGCTTATATGACAAAAACTTATGTGAGTAAGTTATAAACTCCTGAAGCATCACTGAATTCCAAAGCCTCTTTCAGATTCCTCTTTGGCAGGGGCCTTTGAAAATTCCTCTAAAGGAGCTGCTGCCAGTGGAGGGAGCAGCACACCCAGAAACAGTGTCCAAGGAAACACATCCACTAAGAGAGGGGACAACTAGGGGAAGCAGTGTCAGGCAGCCTTCACCCAGATTTCCCACTTGTCATGTCTGTGCTTATGTGTGCATACATCTGGGGAAATCAGCAGCCAAGTCTCYGTAACTCTTCCCGTGTACAAGTTAAGTCTACGCCTCTCCAAACTGTTGGAGCTGCTATGTGCTCTRCAGTCAGCAAGGACAAGCAGCACAGGTGACAAGAGGGTTTGTCTCGAGCATCCCATCAAACCCAGTCAAACCCTACTGATATGCAGCCCTGGTGCTTTCCTCCCTTCCCTCTCCTGCTGCCTTCCCAACGGCTTCAGGAAACACCGACCTTTTGCATCATCTGCAGCTCCTCCCGGAGGCACTGCACCTCCTTCTTTACATACTGGAGCTCATTCTCCTTCACCCGCAGCAGCACCTGCACCAAAGAAGAGGGAGAGGAGCCAGAGGTGACTCAAGAGCCACCACCTCACAAAGGCCAGCAGGCCCTGGCGCAAGTGCAGCGGCAGGAAAGGAAGGAAGGGTCAGAAGGGCYGGGACAGGAAAGGGCGCAAGCAGCCTGAGAGAGCGGCGGAGGGGAGGCTCGCATTCCACTTSCTGCACTGTTCCCATTGCTCCATTCGGCACCCCCCTCCCACTCACTCCAAGCCAAAGCCATCAAGAGGAGAAGAGCCCTGATGGGTGGGGATGACGGCAGCGGGGCAGCAAGGGGGACTCCCGTACCTCCAGCTCACAGGAACTCCGCTCATTGTTGTGCGAAGCACGGTCCCCAGAGCTCCGTGATGAAATAAAGCTCCGCAGCTTCCCGATCTCCTCTGAGAGGCGGGTCTGCAGCTCCTGCAGGCAAAGCCAAACACATCAGAGTAGCCACGCCACGGACCTCTTACTGTCCTGACCGTTCCATCTTCATCCAGCCCTTCTCCAGCTTAGATGMCCTGTCCACAGGCAATGGCAGCATCTACATCCAGCAGAATAAACTTGCCATGTTTAATGCCACAGTTGAGACAGCCTCTGTCTCTTAATCTTTTTCTTTCTGATGATAAAATTTCAGAAGGGAAGAAATATGAACAAATAGGGGAATTTTAACAGAGGGGCTGTGTTGTGTGAGGGAGGAATACGCTCCACAGTCTCTGCTGGGAGGGAAAGCCYTTCTCTTGCCTGATTTTTCCGGAGGAGGTCCTTCCCCTCTCGCTGACAGTGCTCCAGTATCTGCTCCCGCTCTTCTGCCTTCTGGGTGAGCTCCCCAATTTCCAGGCACTTTTGGGAATACTGCTCAGAAAGCACCTGCAGTTCCCTCTTCAGCGACTCCACGTCCAACCTGCCAAAGAGGCGCYGGCTCATCGCTGCCCCAAAACCCCTGCCACTGGCATCACCTCCCCCTGCCATGGCCAGTCTCTGCCCACATCAGCCATTGGCACAAAACAATGCTCCCTGTGAATCAGAGCTTCAGTTCCCACATTCCTGCACAAGTGTGGTGCTTCTTGGAGCTTCAAGCCATGCAGAAGAAATGGAGGAGCTTTCCATGAAGAAAATAGAGGGGAAATAGCAATAGATAAGAGGGAGGTGCTACAGGCAAAAGAGCCAAGCAGGGGACAAACCTCCCTGCCCTACAGCTCCAGCAGCCCTGGCAGCCACTGCTGGGCACTCACCACTCCTCAGGAGCAAGCTGGGGAGGTGGCAGGAGGGACAACTCAGAGCTAGAGCTGCAGATGGGGTGTGGTGACACTGGCACAAGGTGGCATCATGGGACAAAGGGAGTGAGAGAGGTGCTTTCTTACTGGTGCTGCTTCTGGAGGGCTTCTGGGAGCGAGCTGCATTGCTGGAAGCTCCGTGTCCTGCCCAGTTCCTTATTCATTTCCTCCCGGTGGGCTTTCTTCAGTGCCTCGATRGCTGCAGAGGAGGACAAGGAGAAAYRGGGATCAGACTGTGACAGCTTCAGGGAAACCACACCAGGGTACTGGCTGAATTCTTGCCACTGCAGGTTCCCAGATCTGTCTTTTGTGCTCCCCCTCCTTTCCCTTCTGACCTCAGGGTATCCCCTACCTTCTCCACATGCCAGGATCACCATGCTGCCAAGGGGACTAACACAGGGCACTGTGTGTGAGCTCTCTACCACTTCTGCATGCCCACAAGAAGGTGCTGGTCCCCTCCCACCCATCCACAGAGGCACAACCCCATTTCCTTCAGTATCTTTACCACCTCCACCAGCACCCCAGCAGTGAGAAGTACCACAGCTTGTGCTCCAAGGAGTGTCAGCCTCACACCAGTACAGTCAGATAACTGGGACAACTGGCTTCTGGCAAGAGACACTGGGGAGAGGCAGGAGAGACCCAGCTGAGCAGGGCCACAGCTTGATGTTTGCTCCTACCTGCTGCCGTGGCCGCCGCTTCCTCTGCCAGGAGCCGCTCCTTCTCCTGCCGCAGCCGCTCCAGCTCCCGCTGGTGGTGCCTCTGGAGCTCCTCCATCACTTGCTGGTGGGATGACTCCATCTCAGCCAGGCTGCGCTCACACGCCTCCTGTTGTGCGGMGGAAAGGAGGTGTGAGAGAGCACGAGGGAAGAAGGAAGGGCTTGGGYCAGGACAGGCACCTGGCTGGGCTCGTGTTTGCCTTTGCAAACCTCACCCAAGCCCAGGGACATTTTGAAAGAAGGGAGRTTTCTTCCCAGGAGGGTCTTTTCCTTCTCAAAGTGAAGTGGCACTTTAATCACTGAACACAACCATTTGACAAGGACACACACCTTGCAACCCCCCTTTGCACTTTACAGAGGAAGAACGTTCCTCTGGCTCTTAAAACCAAAGCAGCAAGATGGGAACATCCCTCTTGGTCCAAGTGCTGGGAATAACATGSCCAACACCACAGTCCTGACCCTACACCGGGCTGCACTGCCTGGCTGGAAGAGATCAACAGTGGGAAGTGCATCTCAGTATCTGCCTTTTAAATGAAGCAGCATCCCCTGGAATCTATGAAAACCGAGCCTCCTCTCTTGAAAAGTGACACCCGGCACTGCCCTGTGGYCTGATGGAGGCTGCCAAAGAGCCCTCCCCACAGCCTAATGAGCAGGGATCTTCCTCACATAGCTCTCCCTCCTCTCTTACGGCTCTGAGACCAAAGGGATTGTCCTTTCTATGCCAAGTGCCAAGGTTAGACCAAAGCAAAGAGGTTCCCACTTCGGTTCTGTGCTGTCACTCCCTCTGCAGATCCTGGGGGCACCTTCCTGAGCCTCTCAGAAAGGACTTGTTCACCAACAAACCATGCCATTATTATTAAAAGCCTGGGCCTCAAAAACATCAGCCGAGAGCTAGGAAGTCATCACATCCCCCAACAGCCCTGTGCCATCTTACTCCTTCCCCACAAAAGTTCACACAAAAGACACTGCAATATGTTAGGTGAATACAAGCCCTTCACAGAACAACCAAAGGAGAGGAAAAGGTGAGGGATCAATTTGGTCATCTATCCACGGACCAGCTGCAACCCTTGGCAGACTGTGAGAGAGCAAATCCTTTGGGGAAYGGCCAAGTTTGGCCTCAGATGTGAAATGCTGGCTTTTTGAGCCAAGTTATTAGGAAGATAAGGAAGTTTCTCCCCACTGCTTTTGCTTTTTTTTGACAATAAAGAGGCCTGTGAGCTGAAAATACTAAATCATGATAACACAGAGACTGGTAAGTATCTGGGCTGGGTACTACAGGGCTTGTGGGTTTCTTTATCTGTGCTAGGTACAGCCAACCCACTGCAATACACTTCTCCAGCCCCAATTTCCTGCCCTGCCAAACCCCTCCACCCCAGTATCTTCCAACACGTAAGGTCCATCCTGAAAACCCCACTGTGTGGTAGAACAGAAGCCTATCCACAGGAACTCCCTGCGGGATGCGACCCTGCTTGCTTTGGATGAGTCCATGAGAGGGGAAAATAAATAAACAGAGAGAAGTGAGAGGCTGAAAATGAGCAGATTCTGCTTTGCTGGCTCTCCCACGTGCTGTCCCAGCAAACGAACGGGCTGCACTGTCAAATTGACCAGGGCTCGGACTGTTCCCAGGGACTGACTGACTGACAGACTGCTTTTAACAAGACACTGAGGAGCCCTGGTTAGCAAGACCCACATGTGGTGAGCAGCAAAACACCAGAGGTTCGGCAGGAAGCTGCTGACCCGCTCCCGAGCTGGGGGACAGTTCACCCCCACAGCCCAGAGCAGCATCCCGCCCATGCGCAAAGCAAGGGGCAGATCCTGCACCTCTCCCCAAATTCTCCTTCTCTCCCTTTATAACTCTGGCCCTTTAAGGTCATGCAACACGCACCAGCCTTGCCTTTCTGCAGAGCCTCCTGCTGCCAGGGACCACATTAAGGAACCAGCAGAATTCCAGTTTCATGTAATTAACATTGATTACAAACAGGGCCAGTTAGGGTCACCATGGCAACCTAATGATTAGCAATGCCTGCTTGGCAATAAGCTGAGTCCCAGCATTTCCCAGACTGGTACTGGGAGTGACCCCCAGCCCYGAGTCCTGCACCCTACTCACCTGTGAGATGTACCCTCGGGGCACATGGGYGTCTCCCTGGGATTTTGCTGCCTCCCTAAGGCTCTCGTTTCTGGCCCAGCAGGACTCCAGCTGTGCCTGCAGTGACTGGATCTGTGCCAGGCAGGAGAGAGAAAGATGCTCAGCCAAGAGTGGAAAAGTGCCATGGCCTGACCAATGTGCCACATCCAAACCCTGGGCTTAGGGATGGGGAGAACAATGCATGGCTAATGGAGACATCTGCTTCCCCGGCAGCCTGCCAAAGCACCAAACTGCCAAAGCCAGCCCCAGCCTGGTAAGTGCTAGCAAGGAAGGGAGSAGACATCCCAGCTTTCAGAGGTGGATCCATGCTGCAGGAAACCACCCCTGCATGGCTCCTTTCAGAGGCTAGCAGGTGAAGTGGTGGCAGGCTTGGGAACAGCCAGAGAAGAAAGGCTGTGAATGTACTCCCAAGGAAATGCAGATTCCACACAAGTAGTGCCACCAGACAAATTATCCTAGACCAAAACATGGTCTGGGGAACCTCTGCAGGTGAGTGAGAGCTGGCCTCCAGCCTTGCATTAACAGACTGCAAAAGCTTCCATGCACTCAWGGAGCCAGAAAGAAGAACATCTCCCTGCACCTCTGCCTTGCCTTTCTGCAGAGCCTCCTGCTGCCAGGGATCCATTAAGAAACCAGCAGAATTCCAGTTTCAGAGAGGAGAGATGCTCTTACCTCCTTTTTCAGGACCTCATTGGAGTCTCCCTGGCCCCCCTTGCTCTGGTTCAGCAGTGTTGTCAAGGGMACCCGCCGCAAGTCCTTCAAGGGCAGGCGTTCCAGCTCCAGCCACTTCTTCTCTATCTCCTGATTCAGACGAATCCGCTGGTCCTCTGAAAGTGGAGCAGCAGGGAGGTCCTGCTCCCCGGCCTTGCGGGAGGAGTCTCCTGCTGGRCCATCGCTGTTTGAGACCCTACCGTCGGGGCTTTCAAACCATTTCCGCCTCTCCTCCGAACGGATGGCCAAATCCCGCTCCAGCTCCTCGTACTTGGGAGTTCGGTCGGAGACCCTCGAGCTCCCTTTCGTCCTCTGCAGGGACCCCTGATTCCCAGGGTCCTGTGGCAAGGGAGACAGCTCCACGTAGTCAAAAGCATGCTGCTGCCCATCTGCCTTCCAGTGACTGCCCTTGGAGCTCCCCTCAGAGCCTGAGCCTGGCCACTGCTGCTCTTCCRTCCGGAGTGAGCCTTTTTGGGGAACGCAGTTATGGAAGTTCTCCTTGTCATAGTCAGAGAGTCTGAAAGCAGAGCAGCAACTAGTAAAGGAGAGGCACCACGTGGGAAAGGAGACCAGCAGAAGCACTGMCAGCTGCCCAAGGCTCAGACCCTCTCTAAGCCCCTCCTTACAGAACCCCACTCTGAGCAGAGGGCCTGTAGCATCCCATCCCTCAGGGAAATGGATTTCTCCACGCAAAGATTCASCCCAGTTCCAGCTATGCTGGTGGAGAAACCCGTCTAAACTGATGTGGTGAGACCAAAAGCAGGTACAAGAAAGGAAGCCATCAGGTTCTCAACCCAGTGGCTGGTGTAACTAAACCACGTTCAGAAGAAGCAAAGGGCAGGACTGATCTGGGAGTGGTAAGATTTCCAGAGGGGCCTTCCCAGCCCCTGTCTGTCAGGGGCAGCAAGGGAGAAGAGGACAAGCAGCACCGTGCAACTCTTACTTGGTGACGTCTGGAGCACTGACTGGGCGCACATTCTTCCTCAGGGCCTCGATCCAGTTGCGCCGGATGCCAGAGGTCATCGCTGACAGGGTGAAGACGGCATCCCTTGTCTGCAATAGGGAGGTGACAGAAGCCTTGTCAGCACCCAGTGGAAGTGCAGCAGCTCCCACTGGCTCCCTGAGACCCACAGACACCAGCATACACAGGCACTGGGCTGTTAGAAGGCCACCCTCTGTCTCAGGCTCTTGGGGACAGGTGGAGGAATGAGAGAGGAGATGTACTGTTTGAGGGGAAGCCTGTTACACATCCTTCATGAGAAGATCTCCAAGCAAAGGCAAAAGAAACCTTGCTGGCACACTGGGCCAAACATGCTTTGGTACAACTCAGCTGTTCAACTGCTAGAGTCAGGAGCCACCACTGCTGCCAGCAGCAGGGYACAGGGAAACCCAGATCATGAAGTGTCCAGCCCTGCACACCCACAGAAATACCATTTCTCATGCTGCCTTAGCAGCCACCTCCTGCTGCTACAGCAAACAGCTGAGGACAGGACTGTACCAGGACTGGAACCAGGATACAGGTTGTCACTCAGAGCATGGTCAGCCAGGTTACATCGAGATCTGCAGCACTCACCACTCCCTCTCTGCAGCTTTGGAAAAGTTGCCTTGGCCAACATGTCAATCAGACACTCCTGGCATTTAGCTTGGCTCATGGACTGCCTCCAGTACAGCCTTCAGCCAACCCTGCAAAGCCTCCTCCTCCTCCTTTCTTCCTTTGCAGGCAAGCAGCTCTGATGTTCCAAAGCAGTGTCACCCACGTGTCAAAAAACAACCTTGGGCCATGATGCTGGCACAAGATTTGTATGAATTGCCTCTCAGCATCTTGGCAGAGGGAGGGTGCACCCAGCCCACCCAGTGTCCCCTGGTGCCACCACTCTGTACACACGCTGCCGGACACTCACGTGTATCTGGAAGCCATAGTTGCGCTGCACTGCGAACTCCGTCACATCCGTGCAGGAACGGAGATCGATTTCGCCGTCAAGGTCATCAGCCTGCAAGCACAGCCACCCACTAGGACATCAGTGCTCAGCCAGCTTTGAAAAATGCCATCTCCGCCTTCACCCCACTCTGGGAGCCAGGCTCGGTCTTTGGGAGCCAGGTTCAGGTCCCCAGCACAGCATGGCCTCCTCTAACCCACAGCAACATGGATGGAGAGTGTCACAGATGCCCAGCCACAGGAGCAGCCCTTCTCCTCATCTCCCACCACTGACAGTACCCCCAGACTTAGCCACCCTGCCTTCATCCTCTTCATCACCCCTTGGCAAAGAGCAGCTTGGCACCTCTGGCACCCTTCAGGAGGACACGCTGCTGTCACCTGTCCCTGGAGCAGCCCTGTCGTGCCAGGGCTGTGCTCCTCTCCGCACTGTCCAGGAAGGAAGAATGGGCTGGCGAAAGGCTGACTGTGCTTACCTCCTCCGCGTTCGAGTCCCGGTAATACCTCAAGCTCGAGTCGGTCAGCACGAACCAATGTTTCTTCCACTGCAGGCGCATCGGGCAGGGGGAGGGAAGGGAAAAGACAGGAGGGAAATGGATAGGCAGTTACCAGGGAAAGCGTAGGAACAGGGAGGGAYGCTCTGCACTATGACCTCTCAGCCTTCTCTTCCCCCTCCTCCACGTCCCTCCCAGATCCCCCTCCTGACCCTCAGCTGGGAGAGAGGCACTGGATTAAACTTTGTGTCTATGCACACAGTGAGGCACCTCCACCGAAGGTTTCCCACTGCCTTTCCCAGCAGGAGAAACATCAGTGAGCAAGGAGGAAGGAAATCAACTGGCTCACTGGGGATCTCTAGCAGCAGGGGAGAGGGGAAGAGGCAGACTCTCATCTCAGGCTTACCTCTCCCTGGTCGTCCAGAATGGACATCCATCCCTTCTTGAAATTGAGAAGATCGGGCTGGAAAGGACAAAACAGAGAATTACTGTCTTGGAGCGACCTACAAAAGGGCTTTCCATGCCAGGGGGTGGAAGGTGAGTCCCCAGTGGCAGAAGAACAGTGGCAATAGCCTTTTAAGAAACTCGTGAGGGCATATGACCCTACGGCAAAGGAGAACTGGGCATAGATCTCAGCAGCAGGCAGTCATTCCTGTAAGAGGAAGCCGGAGATAAGGGAAGAGGTTTAAAGAAAAATAAAGGAAAATATGCAGCTGAGTGGTTTCCACAAGGTGCTTCAGAGGTATTTATTCAGAGAGGGGGAGGCAGGGACAAGGAGAGTGGGCAAAAGGGAGTGCACCACCACCACCAATGGGACTTGCCTCAGAGATGGAGGCAAAGCCACAAAGAACTAGACACGCCTTGTCCCAACCCTTGCTGTTCCTGCCCCAGAGCTATGTCACTCTGGTAACTTCATCAGCAATCATTTACTAAAGACATGAGGAGCTCAGCCCTCATGGAAAACCTACAGGAGGCAAYACAACAGCTGTGAAAACACGTCGCCTTTAAACGACGTACCCCAGGGTAGAGATGAAGTCAGTGCTTGATCCTCTCCCCTCTCCCTCCAAGGTTCAACCTTATCTGAGATTCTGAAGGTTTTTCTCTTACCCAGCTCTTTCTGCTCCCTCCCATTACAGAGCCTGCCCTCTGCCCAGCCACAGCTACAGAAGATAAGGATGAAGAGAATTTCACCTAGATCACCCTGTGCCACAAAGAAGGTTTCCCTCCACTTTCTGCCTCCTAACCTCATGTCGCCGGTGCAGCATCCCAACCAGTTTATCTTCTTCCCAAGGTGGAGCACCAGAGAGCTGACTCAGGGAACCTMTCTCCCTGGCTTTGCCTCAGTCAAACAGGCTTGAGCTGGTCCCTCCTCCCAACCCAGCTGGCTCCCAGGAAATTGCACCATCAAAGAACTCAGTCAAATGTCTCTCTTCCTGGGGATGACAGTTTGCCAACCTGATCCTTCTTCTGCAGCTGAACCAGGCAGGGACAGCGTTGGAGAAGTGACGGTGCCAGAGCTGGACCTCTGGGAGGTCCAGCACCACACTGGCCAGTCCTGTGGAAGCCACCAGCAATCCCCACGTGTCACAACCACCAGCTGAGATGGAGCTGGTGAGGAGGTGGCTCAGCTTCCACATCTCTGGCACAAGTGCAGTGGCCAGCCACAGTTGCCCCACAAGCCCAGCTCCSTGGCTGCACAGCCAGGCAAAACCTTTCCCTGCTTTCATCTTCCTGAGATGCTGCTCGTGGGTTACACCCAAGGTTATGGGGCGGCAAGAGCCGAGTATGTGTCGGCCCACCCTGGCRCTCTAGCTATTGGTTCGAGCAGGATCAAGGAGTCCTGCCAAGGGGAGGGTCACTGCCTGCTACAGCTTTAGGCCTGTCCAGAAGCATCCGGCAGCCCCGAGTTCCCTGGAAAGGGAGGGAAAACAGAGCAAAAGGACATGGGAGGTTCCCAAACCTCTCCTCCTGCTGAGGTGACAGGCACTGTTAGCAGTGGAGGGGGATTTATGCACCCTCACCAACCCAGACATTGTGGCGGCTCCACTGCTGCCCTGAGAAAGCACCCCAAAAATTAATTCTTTCTCCGTGACAGCAGCTCCACCCTTTTTCCCGTTATTCCTTCCAGTCCAGTGACTTAAGCTCCAGCTCTGAATTCAGAATGGCGAGAGGGAAGGAAAGGAGACAAAACATCMAAGTACAACCTCCCCCCTCCCGGGATACACGTGCGCTCAACAGAAGGGAGAGAGATGGGCAGGCTCCATGGTGGCAGAAAAACAATATAGGGAGAGAAAGACAGAAAGGAATCCTGGCTGGGGCTGTTGTACAGATCAGTTGGGTCTCATCTTATTGAGGATTTACAGTCCCAAAGCATTAGGTGCCAAAACAATTAATAATAATGGGATGCATGCCGCTGGGAAAATTGCCACAATGTCCTGCCAGAACTGCTGCCCCCAATGCAGTGCTGCGGCCAGAAAATCTCCCTGCAGGACTTCTCCCGGGCAGGCAAACAGGGTTTCTGCCTTCYCTGCCAGCCCTAGACACAGAGCTGCAGCTCTATAGAATAGTCTTTGAACTATTCTTGTGATAGAAGGGTCAGTACCATAAGTTGAGGCCTCAGCTGATAAACAATGTGCTTAAAGACACTTTTCTTCCCTTCCCCACAACCAAATCCAGTTTCTTCACCCAGCATAAAAATCTCAGGATACTGTCAGAGAAGAGCACGGGGTTCAAATAGAACCCCTCATCCAGAGGAAATGGCCCAGCAGCAGGAGGAGGAAACATCCAGGAAAGCTGAGCTGCTGGGAGAGATCCGGGTGCCGGAGATGCAATGATGTGGCAGGATGCACCCCCGGCAAAATGCATGGCCCTGCGGCTTGGGGCTGCAGATGGCCTGGGAGGTGGCAGCAGTGATTTTGCCCAGTTGCATCCATGCCCATCAGAGTTTTATGTTCAGCCCCACAGCTGGCCAGGAAGAGTCACTGGASGGGGTCTCAGGCAGCTGGGGACTTATGTGACATCTGGAAAGACCGGCTTGCAATAGCAGGTTRAGGAGCAGCAGCTGCCTGCTCTGGTTGAAGAAGGACTACAGGGAAGGTGATAACAGTCTGTAAGTATCTGAAGAATGTAAACATCAAAGAAGGAAAAGGGACAGGGTGGGAGCAAAGGAATGAATCGAGGGTGGTACTGAGGCACCAGGATGGAGAAGTGGAGAAGAGGCTGTGGAAGGCTGAGAAAGTTCAGTGTCTGAGCAGAATGGTCAGGTGTGTCCTTTCATCACCAGCGTCTGTCATCACTGTGCCTCCTGCTCTTCCCAAAAGCTCCTCAGGACTGCAGATCCTGGGGCACTGCTTCCCGTCGCCTCCGGGAGATGGTGCAAGGGGCACTCAAGCCGCCCGGAAAGCACAGYGTCTCCTCTCTAAAAAGGGAACCCGCTTCACAAGGCGTGGGCCCCAGTCCAAAACACAAAGCAAAACCGCTCCAGTTCACTTTGGTGAAAGCAAAATCACTCCCAGCCTGGAGCGCACATGCCGCTCCCGAATCCACACGTGCAGTAAGAAGAGCCAGCGGGCGACTGGCTCTCCCTTCCCCACCGCTCCCGTGCGAAACGCCGGCGGGCGCAGCGCAGCCTGTCACCTCCATTGCCCCGGCAGCCGCCTGTGCCAGGGAAAGCTCGCCCCAGGGGTGCGATGCTCTCTGCCCCAAACCGCATCTGTTTCCCACAGGGAGCAGGAGCTCACCACACCCAGAGGGACAGGAATTTCGCATCCGACTGCGGTCATGGATGCGGTGAGCTGGCCTGGCCTCAGCCCGGTCCACGCTCACGCTTATCTGGGTGGGGTGGTGCCCATCGGGGCCGAAGCGGCCACGGAGATCCCTGGGGGAACCCTGGCGGWGATACCGAAGGAAGCCAAGGCAGAWCTGCCACAGATTCGAGACGTGGGGCAGAGTCCCCCGGAGAGCGACGGCTCCAGAGCCCCTCGGAGCGGAGCGATCCCCGGAGGCGGCGGCTGACAGCCAGGGTCCCCCGCCCCCTCCCAGCCCCGAACCCCAAGTCCCGACTCACCGTCATGGCGGGRGCGCCCCCGCCGGCGGGGCCGGAGCCGGAGCCGGGGCCGGGGTCGCGGCGGGGCCGGGCGCTGGCAGCCAGGGCGGCGGGGCGGCTTCAGCGCCCGGGAGGCTTCCGCGGCCCCACCA